AACGAATAGTAAACACGGTAATCACTACGCACCACACATACTCACCACTACCACTACCTCCCCACATCCTAACCACCACACTGGCACACTATCACCACCACCATCACTAACACCACTACTGGCACTATGTATCACTACCACCACCATCACTAACCATCACTACACACTAGATGTATCACTACCGCCACCATCACTAACGCACCACTACAACCACTGATGTATCACTACCGCCACCATCACTAACGCACCACTACTACCACTGATGTATCACTACCGCCACCATCACTAACGCACCACTACTACCACTGATGTATCACTACCGCCACCATCACTAACAACCACTACTACCACTGATGTATCACTACCACCACCATCACTAACGCACCACTACACCACTGATGTATCACTACCGCCACCATCACTAACGCACCACTACAACACTGATGTATCACTACCGCCACCATCACTAACGCACCACTACAACCACTGATGTATCACTACCGCCACCATCACTAACGCACCACTACATACCACTGATGTATCACTACCGCCACCATCACTAACGCACCACTACAACCACTGATGTATCACTACCCCACCATCACTAACGCACCACTACACCACTGATGTATCACTACGCCACCATCACTAACGCACCACTACTACCACTGATGTATCACTACCGCCACCATCACTAACGCACCACTACTATCACTGATGTATCACTACCGCCACCATCACTAACGCACCACTACAACCACTGATGTATCACTACCGCCACCATCACTAACGCACCACTACTACCACTGATGTATCACTACCGCCACCATCACAAACCCAACCACTACTACCACTGATGTATCACTACCGCCACCATCACTAACGCACCACTACTACCACTGATGTATCACTACCGCCACCATCACTAACGCACCACTACTACCACTGATGTATCACTACCGCCACCATCACTAACATACCACTACTGGCACTAATGTATCACTACCACCACCATCACTAACGCACCACTACAACCACTGATGTATCACTACCGCCACCATCACTAACGCACCACTACAACCACTGATGTATCACTACCGCCACCATCACTAACGCACCACTACTACCACTGATGTATCACTACCGCCACCATCACTAACATACCACTACTGGCACTAATGTATCACTACCACCACCATCACTAACGCACCACTACAACCACTGATGTATCACTACCGCCACCATCACTAACGCACCACTACTACCACTAATGTATCACTACCGCCACCAAGGTTTACACAACTTTTAAGTCAACAGCCTCACACACACACACAAGTCACCAAGCAGAAATTAATCCTCACAAGAACAACAGTAAACATTTAACCAACATAATTTTTTCTCTTATCCTAATAAAACGGGGAATTTTTCCTGAAAAAAAAATATATATACACAAGAAACTAAGATAGGAGAAACTAATAACTACGTTTCGGTCTGAGTAGGACCATTAACTAGTTATACACTAGTGTGACTAATTCTTGGTCCAAGTTGGACCAAGATGTGGGGGTTAAATATGTAGTTCATTGTAAATCCCTGACCAAAACTCGTCTACAAGTTCCAACTTGAACTGCGTTAATTTAAAAAAATAATGTGAAATACTACCAGTAGAGCCCAGCTTAATTCCAACACCTTAAAAATCACAAACATGGGATAAACTGGGACGTAGCCGAAATATTGCACTAAAGAGACACTTAGAAAAAAAACAGAAGTTACTCTCACCTGAACAAAATCCAATTTCAACAGCTCGGAAGAGAACTGGATTCCTAATGTTATTACAGGATTCGTCGTAGACAAGTATATTCCCTCTCCAGACTCATCATTCCCGCCGCCACTCATTATAATAAAGGTACAGAACACCGAGAAGCCTGCTGAGCAGGTGGAACGTTTCGACAATGAAGATATCCAAGTATTGTGCATGTGTCTTAATCATCAACCATTCTCACCTAACCACCGGTGATTACCACCTCGTAATTACGACTCCTAACATAGGAAATGTATATAAGCCACTCTACTCTTATATATATATATGTATATATATATATATTATATATATATATATATATAATATATATATATATATATATATATATAAAATATATATATATATAGAAAATGCATTTTTGCTATAGAGAATATTCAAAGTAAGGGATTTTAAAAATAAAATATATATTTTTTTTGAAACATTTTGTAATTTCATACACCATCATCAGTGCTAAAAATGATAAAATAAAAATTACCAAAGAGAACAGTTGGTTTACATGACAACACTATGTTTAATATTTAAAACAGACGTGATAAATGTTAAAGATATAAAACTTGCAGTGGGAGTGGAAGTGGCAGCAGCAGCAGCAGCAGCAGCAGCAGCCGGAGGGAAAGTGGCAGCAGCAGCAGCCGGAGTGGGAACAGTGGCAGCAGCAGCAGCCGGAGTGGGAGTGGCAACAGCAGTAGACAATCAAACATTACAACAATTACCCTATCTAACATTACAATAACTACCTTAACTAATATAACAATAACTAAGCTAACAAATCATCTAACGCAAATTAGCGTGTGTGAGAGTGTGAAAAGTGGACAATGTTAGTTCCGAGTCTTGTTCGATAACGTGTTACCATGGTGATAAGGTACAGTTTTGGTGCTCTCCAGCACACAACTGTGTATGGTAAGACACCTTAAAGCAAAACCAGTATTGAAATAATAATAAAATAATAATAATAATAATAATAATATTATATTATATAAAAATAATAATATATTATTATTATTTATTATTATTATTATTATTATTATTATTATTATTATTATTAGCAATAGTAGTAGTAGTCTTATTATTACACTCCTCTGGCCCGACAATGCCAGAGGAACGGAAGTTAATTATTCAAGGAGGAGGAGGGTAGCGTCTATTATCTGTATTGCAGGTTCTTGAGAGGCATCAAGAGAGCTTCCTCACTCTTCAAGGAACCAGCAGCATAGTAAGACTTTCTTTCCGTTAACTAAATTATCTCCATCTGCAATCCTGATCATTGCCATCTGGTTGATCACCCTTGTAACGTGAGATGATGCAATTAAATAACGGGTGGGGTTAGAACCCATGGCAGGTGAGTCGTAAAGCTCCAGGACAGTATGTTAACCACTGGGCCAGCTGGCTACAATATGATTCATCGAACTAGATATATTTATATACTTGCCATTGGTTCTAACCCAACCGTGTTATTACGATTTCGTGAGTCATGATGATGCAGTAAGAGAATAGGTTGGCAAATATAATACCTATTTACAATGCAGGTGACAGGTCCTTAGCTTCGAACTATAGACCAATAAGCTTTACCTCCATAGTGGGAAAAATTATGGAATCAATAATTGCCGAGGCAATTCGTAGCCATCTTGATAGGCATAAACTGATAAATGAATCTCAACACTGTTTTACTAAGGCGCGTTCCTGTCTTACGAATTTACTAAAAAATTTTCGCTAAGGTGTTTGAGGAGGTAGATCATGGTAATGAATATGATATTGTGTATATGGACTTCAGTAAGGCTTTCGATAGATTTCCACATCAGAGATTTTTGAGGAAACTTAAGGCACACGGAATAGGAGGAGAATTTTATTCCTGGGTAGAGGCTTGGTTGACAAACAGGCAGCAATGAGTTAGCATAAATGGGGAGAAAACAGAGTGGGGGCACGTCAGGAGCGGTGATCCACAGGGGTCAGTGTTGGGCCCCCTGTTGCATTGTTAAAATCTCCAGTAAGGCTGATGCATGCAGGGGATGAGATGAAAAGCTGTAAGCCTTCTCCCTGAAAGCTGGCTGCCGTGGATCAAACGTGTAGCGCAAGCTACACGCCAAGGTATTGTCCAGTGTGGGTTGATTGGTAAAGCACTGCGTACCTTGTCCTAAGGTTCGTAGGTTTGAGTCTCCTTCAGCCAGAGATCAGTGTTTGTGTACATTTCGCCTGCTCTCGCGAATTCCTTTATATATATATATATATATATATATATATATATATATATATATATATATATATATATATATATATATATATATATACTCACACACGAGACTGATCCGCATTAATTTTGTGAGGATTTAAACCAGCCAGATCATTGTTAACCTGCATTGTGATACGGAGATTAATTTTTTACATTGACGAGTGCAGCGTTAAACCATAGGGGTCATATAGCGTGTGGAGGAATAGGATGTAATCGGGTTCAGCTCAAGGAAAAATGAAGCAAAGTCTAACGACTTTAGGTCTCTCTCCCTCTCAGGGCTCCAAGGAACCTTTGCTAAATGAACGAAATCCTGTCCTAGCTGGGCCAGCTTCAGGCATTACGTAGAGGTCAGGCCTTGTCCACTCCTCATACTGAGTAACCCGTAGGGATTTAGCGGGAGAGACACGTGGGTAACACGAAAGTGCTTGGTGAGCATACAACTTTTGCAGACAGTGGCTTGGTGAGGTAGGTGGTGGTGTTGTTAGTAACATTGGATGTCCTTGGTTATGTGCAGGCCAGGAGCTGTGACCCGACCCCTGCAACTACATACAGGTAGGGCACAAGTGCAACTAATACGGCATTTTATTGTGGCAACGTTTCGCTCTCCAGGAGCTGTGTCACATTAGTCGCACTTGTCTACTTTTTACCCAACATATTGTCGGTAATTTCACCAACATTATCACATATAGTGAGTGAGAGTAAGCCCAGACGCTTGCTTGGCAGACAGCTGATCTGTAGTGCTGCTTGGCAGACAGCTCATCTGTAGTGCTGCCTGGCAGACAGCTGATCTGTAGTGCTGCCTGGCAGACAGCTTCAACACTTGGTCTCCGGGGTAATTTTATTTTATACCATTTTCAAAATAGGATAAAGTTAATGAATTAATACTTAGTATAGACCTTGGTAATTAATACCGACAAATTAATTTAAAAAGGCACATAAAGAAACACTAGGACATATTAGAAAACGTTTCGGTCCTGGGACTTTGATCAAGGTCCCAGGACCGAAAAGTTTTCCAGCAAATATCCCCTAGTGTTTGCTTACCTGTCTCTTTAAAAGAATTAAGATGTACACAAAAATATAACTGGAACATACTCCTCTCTGTAACCTGGATAAAGTTACTCACGAATGATATTTACAGTTTGCGTTGTTGCAGTCATGGTTACGAGGCTAGACATGCTCTCATTTCACCGAAGATACATCATACCGTCTAACTGACGAGTACGACGTCTGTCTTTACTGAGAGACATTCCGTCCACTAGGGATTTATTTAGACTGATTCCCAGATGTTGAACTGCGTCTTATTCATCAAGAATTGGTGGGGAAGGAGGGGCTAGGCGAGTATGGACAATGAATTAGACACATGCGCAGCACTTGGGAATCTTTACTGAGGAAACGTTTCGCCACGCAGTTGTTTTCTCAGTCCTTAGCAAAGAAGGATGGTGACGATCAGAAGGAGTTTGAGGTAATCAGTCCCCCAGCCTGGAGTCGATATAATCAGTCCATCAATCTTTTCAAGATTGTTCACTCCATCAGTCATGAGATTGATGGATTCAACACGTCGACTCCAGGCTGAGGGACTGATTACCACATTCTCACCGTTTTGTCTCTGCGTCGGACTGAAGAACCACTGACTGGCAAAACATTGCCTCAATATACCCAAATGTCGCATAAGTGTCTCATTCATTAACTATCACAAGGGACAAGCGCTACTGGGAGGGCAAGGGGCGAAACGTCTATAGAAAACAGCAAAGCATTAAAATCTCATTGAAACAAGTGTTGTCGGAAAGTGCCGACACAGGCTGGTACATGACCCTGGCGCCACACATGACACTGCCTGGCACACACGACGTCCACACTCCCCACGTTCCTGCGTGACACAAAAGTCAGTTTGTAATTTAGAATACACGAGTTAGTACAACATAGTGAAACAATATTACAAAATTGTGTGCTTGATAGTGTATACAAAAACAACCACTGTGAAAGAACAGCGAAATTCCAAGCACTTTCGTGACTTCTCACATTATCAAGTAACTACCTGTATAGCGTATGTAGAGAGAGAGAGAGACAGAGAGAGAGAGAGAGAGAGAGAGAGAGAGAGAGAGAGAGAGAGAGAGAGAGAGAGAGAGAGAGAGAGAGAGAGAGAGAGAGAGAGAGAGAGAGAGAGAGATCCTGCTCTCTAACTGTTATCTACTTTATATGGCTGCACGAATCACTGTACATTTACTTATATTCTGTGTTCAGTTTTGAATGAGTTATTCTGTACTTAGAAAAAATACACTTCCAGTTGAGCGGCTGGAACAACTCACAATTGCCTAGCTGGAACAACTCACAATTGCCTAGCTGGAACAACTCACAATTGCCTAGCTGGAACAACTCACAATTGCCTAGCTGGAACAACTCACAATTGCCTAGCTGGAACAACTCACAATTGCCTAGCTGGAACAACTCACAATTGCCTAGCTGGAACAACTCACAATTGCGTAACTGGACCAACTCACAATTGCCTAGCTGGAACAACTCACAATTGCCTAGCTGGAACAACTCACAATTGCCTAGCTGGAACAACTCACAATTGCCTAGCTGGAACAACTCACAATTGCGTAACTGGAACAATTCACAACAAACTCACAATTCGTTGCCACAATAAAATATAACATTAGTTGCACTTGTGTCCTTTTACCTAACACACTGAGGCATATATTTCTCAGTTTACATAATGAGAGACATACCATCTCTGCGCTAGACAGTTCATATACACCGACTGACATACTCCTCTCGGTATAAATATTCAATGATTCCTCTGTCGTAGAAAGTATTTACTCACTGGTCATAATTATACCTGTATCGTTGGAGGTATAACTGGAGAGCTGAGTGGAGTCCTGACAGCGGAAGAGGACTTGGTTCAAGGCATCCCTATCTTCACTTCCTGTGGTAAGGTGGAACCTCGCACGGATATCCTTGCACAAAGGTGTTGTTGCTGCAGGTCGCTGTACCTGTGGAAGGAGAAAGTTACTTTCTACTGGCAGTGTTGTGATGTGTTATGCTGTGAGGGTAATGCTGGTGACGGTGAGTAGAACTGGTGTATATATATATGGTATACAGTACCGACAAGATAAAGAATTAGACACATGTGCAACATCTGGGTATCCTTTTTGTAGACGTTTCGCCAACCAGGGGCTTTATCAATACAAGGACATAATGTGAAGACCTATAAACAAAAGATGAGATAATTAGTCCCTCAGCACCGTAGTCTTGACTAGGCTTGGCTTTATCTTGTCGGTGTTTTATACAATATATGTACAGAACTGGTGGTGAAAGAATATAAAAACTTAGGAAAATCAATAAACATTTGGGTATTCATTATTCTGAATGAAGATACCCAAATGTTGCACAAGTGTCTCATTTATCAACTTGTCGGTTTTCTAACCTTTTTATTGAAAGAACGTAAGAAAGGAGGAATGTTGCAGTAGACCTACTGGCTCCATACTGGGCACGTCCTTCTCAAACCCAAACTAACAAAACTATTTACCCAACCCATTTTCAATGCTACCCAAGCAATAAGCTTAGATAACCTTGTTAACTTAGTATGTGCAAGTCCAACTTAAATACAAATCTTCGCACTCATGTTTTTAACAAATCTAAATTTGAAGCTACCCAAGGTTTTAGCTTCAATAACCCTACTAGGCAGACCGTTCCACTCATCGTCTACTCTGTTTCAAAATCAATACTTTCCTACATCCTTTCTAATTTTAAACTTATCCAATTTGAATCCATTATTATGGGTTCTCTGCTGGAGGGATATCCTCGGGATATCTTATTTATATCTCCTTTGTTAATATTCGTCTTCGATTTATATACATCAGTCACGTATGCCCAACCCACTTTCAATGCTACACAAGGAAGAAACTTTAATAACACGCTTATGGAGACGGTGTCTGGTACTCTTTCAGTGTTGTTTTATCTGATTCGTTTTAACTCATGGATATAAAAGTTGTATACAATACCGACAAGTTGGTACGTAAGACACAGCATAGTTCTTAGTTCAGACGTTTCGGATAAAGATACCAACTGTCCACCTTGTCTTCTACAACCTGCCCTTGTGTCTCTCTCTACTTGTACTTACTGCTGAGCATAGAAGTAATTCTGGTTGAACAGATAGAGTAGTGCATCTTTGAGTCATACACAGACTTTCACTCCCACGGCTCGACAGCCAGTTGACACCCACGTCTTGGTGCAATGTCGAACACTACGGCAGGTGGGAATATGTGTCGTTACTGTGCACTCACCTAGCTGATGATAGCTTCCCTGATACACACTAGTTTCACTTAAGAGAGCTGATAAAAAGTTTAGACACGTCTCATGCAGTTATGGAATTCAGGAACTCTCTCCCACCAGTGGCTGCTGATCACTATACAAAGAAGAACGGATGTAAACAGATTTTGTAGTAATCAGTCTCTCAGCTGGAATCATGTGTTGAGTCCATCAGTCTGTATGAGTACAGCATATGGCGGAGTACAGTGACTCATCTCAATGTAAGAGAGTCACTCTCCGCCATATGCTGGTGTCTCAACTGATGCTGAACACGATTTCACGTTGAGGGACGAGTGTAGGACTGATGAAGCAATGTCTGTCGAAACGTTTCTTAATAAAGATACCCAACTGTCGCACATGTGTCTACTTACCAACTCCTGCCTCGTTGTGTCCTTCCTTCCCTCTCCTCTGTACTTACCTTGCTGAGCATTGAGAATGTAATTCTGGTTGAACAAGATAGACGTAGTTTGCATTCCTTGTTGAGTCATACACAGCAGCTTTATTCCACTCACTCCACAGTCGTCGACAGCCAGGTTGACACCCGCGTATGGTGCATACTGTCGAAAATAGACGGCAGGTGAGAATATGTGTGTCGTGTATGTGCACTCACCTAGCTGTGTTGATAGCTTCCCTTGACTACGAGCAGCTATGTTTTCAGCTTAAGGAAGAGTTGTGATAAATAGTTTAGAAAACGCTCATGCAAGTTATGGGAAAATGTGAGGGAACGCTTCTCCGCACAGTGGCTTCATGAGTCCTATACAAAGAAGAACGGTGTAAACAGAGGAGTTTGAGGTAATCAGTCTCTCAGCCTGGAATCGATGTGTTGAGTCCATCAGTCTTGTAGAAGTACAGCATATGGGCGGAGTTACAGTGGAACCATCCACTAGTGTAAGTACATGAGTCACTTCTCCGACCATATGCTGTGCTGTCTTCAAGACTGATGGACTGAACACATCGATTTCAGGTTGAGGGACTGATGTGTAGGACTGATGAAGCCAATGTCTGGCGAAACGTTTCCTTAATAAAGATACCCAAGTGATGCACATGTGTCTAATTTATCAACTTGTCGGTCCTCAGGACCTTATTTATATCTCCTTCGTTAATGCCCATCTTCCACTTATACACTTCAATCGTCTCCACACATTATTAATCTTACAAGAAAATGTAATTTAAGGGATTTCAGTCTTTCTTCGTAAGGAAGATTTCTTTTGCACTGGATTAATTTTGTCATTCTTCTTCGAATGTTCTCTAATGAATTTATATCCATTCTGTAATATGGAGACCAGAACTGAGCTGCATAATCTAAGTGAGGTCTTACTAATTATGTGTGTCACTAGTGTTTAACCTCTAGACTTCTGCTGCTAATACTTTTTGATAAAAATCCCAGTAATCTATTACGTACGTTTAGGCTTTGCTGTCTCGGCTTCAGGTTGCCGCTTACCATAACTCCTAACTCCTATTCGCATTCTGTATGACCAAGTTCTATATTTAGTTTAAACGCTAGGGTTATGCATATTTCTAGAACGAACTGCATCTGTCGCTTTTTTGACCACGACATGAGTTTGTCTAAATCCTCCTGTAGCTCAATGACGTCTTCCTCTGAATCAGTTATCCTACTTATTTTCGTGATATCAGCGAATTTGCTCATATATATCAGTGGCCTCGTCAAGGTCACTGATATTTATTATAAACAACAATGGGCCTAAAATTGATCCCTGTGGAACGCCGCTTGTTACAGATGCCCACTCAGATTTTACCCCATTTGTGCACACTCTCTGCTTCCCGTTGGTGAGCCATGACTCGATCCATGACAGGACTTTCTCCCCAGTGCCATGAGTTGCCACTTTCTTTAACAGTCTTTTGTGTGGTACTCTATCAAAAGCTTTGCTAAAATCTAAATAAATAATATCGAACTCTGTATCGTGATCAACAGCCTCAAATGTTTTACTGAAGGAAGTCAGCAAATTCATTAGGCATGAGCGGCCCATCGTGAATCCATACTGAGTATCATAGATGAAATTATGCTTATCAAGACGGCTTCTTATAATGTCAGCTATAATTGACTCTAATAATTTGCTTACAATTGAGGTCAGGTTTATTGGGCGGTAACTTGACGGTAATGACTTATCTCCTATTTAAAATCTAGAATTATATTAGCCATCTTCCACATATCAGATACCACATCTCAATATATCGGACACCACGCATTCCTTTCTTTATAGGTCCCAACTTACCCATAATGTGTAACCATAGATAAAGCTGCCTGTATCGCAAGTCAGTTCAGCTGTCCACTGCCCCCATAATCCCGGCATGTTTTGCTCCACTGGCACTGGTACTGTTGATAGAGGAAATTTTGTTGGTGAAACGTCAATCTTTCAAAATTTATTTTTAATTGTGTTTTTATTAAATTCTAAACTAAGTGCAAAATTAAACCAAAAATATAAGACAGTGGTGATGAGGACTTACTCCTGTGAAGACATGACTAGTGTGCTCTCCGTTCTTAGCTTACTGAGATTGTGATGATGGCTTCCCTCGACTACGAGCAGCTATATTGTCGGCTTAAAGAAGAGTTAATAGAAGCTAGAAGAAAGATTCAATGCCTGAAAGGTATGTATAAGGATTATCCCCAGAACAACGTTGTCGAGAACAAATGTGTCAATGATCAGACCAACGACTGGATGCTGGCTGGAACGGAAGGAATGAAGCTAAAGCTAAGGAAGGTCCAGGAGACTGCTGTGGTAACCAGTAATTCCTTCTCAATGTGGGCAGACGAGTGTGAGTTGACGACTATAGACACCCCAGCAAAGACCATCCCATTGAGAAGTCCCAGCGAATACCGCCAGTGAAGGTAAGAACATTGTTTTAGTTGGAGACAGGTTAGTTTATGGATAGGACTTTTTGTCTTAGAGATAGGAACATAGGAATGGAGGAACACTGCAGAAGGTCTACTTATATAATTATCCAATCTCTCTTCCAAGCTACCCAAGATTTTAGACTCTATAACCCCACTCGGTAGAACATCACATGCAGCATTCTCAACCTGACTATAATTACTCTCGTACCTTCCACCCAGGTAGATCTGTTTGTGACTTGAAAAAGCCCACTGTGTGGGCGAAACGTTGTCAATAAAGGATCACATTATACTGCATATGTGTTTATATTTCCAAGAGGAGGCAGAGGGTATGTTTTCCTGGGATGAGGATGGAGGATATTGTTAGCCTTCTGGACAACATTATGAGAGGTAATGGAAGCAATCCAATTATCTGTCTCAGTGTGGGAGGCAAATATAGGTCAGTAATAGATATGATTAGGAAGAAGGGAGGGAGCACTGTAATATGTGGCATTTTACCAAGGAGAGGAGTTGGATATGAATACTTGTCCAGGGCAATTGGTGTTAACTGCTGGCCGGACAAACACTGTAAGAACATTGCAGTAACATTTGTAGAAAACTGGGACCTTTTCTATAACAGAAATGACATGTAAACCGGGACAGGCGTGGGGGTACTGGCCATTGCAGTTAGGGCTTGAAACTAGAAATAGTCAGTGAAATGGGTTTTGGGGAAAAAAATGAGTTACCATACAACAGAATTGGGCAGGATATCCTTTCAGTATAGCGATATTGTGAGTTTTAGGAAAACCAGTTATAGGCATAATGAGGTAGAGTTATTGGTGAATATTGGAAAGCCAGAGAGAGAGAGAGAGAGAGAGAGAGAGAGAGAGAGAGAGAGAGAGAGAGAGAGAGAGAGAGAGAGAGAGAGAGGGTAGCAAACAAGGATAACTAAAATAAATTTCTGACGTTTCGTGATACGGTCTGTGTTGAGCAGTGTATAGTGCGTCACAGCTCGCGCAAAAACTGCACTGGCGCGTACTTTATTATCCCTGGCGTACCCGCACTTTTTTAAATCTACTATGAAAAAGCTAACGATGGTGGTGGGGAAGCCAGACTATTCCACATTCCTGCCTTTGTCATATCTCAGGTGTTGCATGATTCCAATACGAGTTACGCTCTTCCCTATTTATTGCAGTGGCAATTGTCTGTTCTGTTCCCCATCCTCCTCTCTCTCTTCTCTTTCTTCCTTACTCTGTCTCCTCGTACGCAGAATATCCAGTATTTTATAGCACTCAGATGAACTAGGGTATTGAAGATAACTGTGAGACTACCAGGTCCTCAGTGAACATTTAGTGAACTTTTTAGTAATTTACTGTTAACGGATGTTCTTAAGAAATTTAGATACATTGAAAAGTATACCAGGGTACGGGTGGGATTAGAACCCATGGCAAGTGAGTCGTAAAACTTCAGGCCAGTGCGTCAACCACTGGTTCATTTGCAGTTGTGTTATTACGATTTACTGAGTCATTAAGGAAGTATCATCCAGCTATTGGTTTGTCTTGTGACTGAAAAATTGCAATTTGCATGTTTTTCCAGCCTACCTGATTAGGCTGGATGTATACACAAATAACCCACACACAGGAGAGAGAAGCTTACGACGACATTTCGGTCCGACTTGGACCATTTACATTCACACTAAGATAAGAGAGTGGAGGAGACAGTGTATATATAGGCTGCGGGGGACAAGGATGGGAGCAAGAGAGGAAGAAAGAGAAGTAGTGGTATATAGGATATATTTAGCAGTGTGAGAGTCGGTATGGTAGAGTACTCTGGTGGATGAAATTGCAACTACCCTTCCCTTTCTAGGATTAAATCTGAATCTCCTCCTTTCCTTCTCCCACTGTATGTTCCAGGAGCTGTACCAACCATACTAGTTTAAGTTTGGCCATCCCTTAAAACCATACCATTAACATCACGCGAGGCCCACAGCATAACCCAATGGTTGTAATTATGATCGTAATTTTTAAAAGGATTGACGGGTAAGCCAGCGGAAGGCCTCCCGTCAGGAAACACTTGTCCTATTTCCTGACAAATCTTACCTAACCTAAGCAAGATCCACAATTTGGACCGAAGTGTGGAAGGACACAAGATATCATCTTGTAATTATAAAAATGCTAGAAGTCTCTATAAAGCCCAGACGGACTGCTTGATCAGAGACTGAGCTACGATAAATAGACGAGGGTCGAGCCTACAGTGTTCCAGAAGCCGAATATCCAGCACTGGTTTAGTATTTCGTGAAATACAATTAAATGCATTCTATAAACTGAGTGGTTGTTATGTTAGACCGGAAAATAACACATGAAGAAGGAGAAAACCCGTAGGGAATATGCAGCACCTGTGGAATGTGAGGAAATCTAGTTCGCTCCATGGAATGAGAAGGCAACTCCACTTTCTAGGACCAAGAGTACTTCAGCAGATCACAAGCTCTCTCTGAAGGTCAGACCAAAACAAGAAAAAAATCACAATACCGTGACTGAAACAATTCACAAATAACCCGCACATAGGAGACAGAAACTTACCACGACGTTTCGGTCCAACTTGGACCATTAATTAGTCAGACCAGAAGACGATTTTCTGACTTACCTGTCATGAGCATATAGATGTTGTAGTCAGGGTTGGCAGTGATGGTGATATTAAACTTATACTGTGTCATCTGACAGTTGTTGATGGAGGTGTTGATAGCCCAGTTGAAGGCTTGACACTGACTGTTCATCAGGCAGTTTAAGGCGCACAGTCCCTCACTAACTGGACATGAACAGACACATGTTAAAATTAATTTTTTTTGTAGTGATAATTAAAATATTAGAGTCAAGACAAACTGCAGAATTAAGCTTGTAACAAGACGAACTTCTTAGGGTAGAGCTCTACCAAGAGCTTGATAGAGCTTTGAGCTCAACCCTGAGTGAAACGTTGTACCAATAAAAACGTTTTTCATCCAAATCACGGAATGGGTGAGGGTTGAACCCATCGGAAGTGAATCCTAAAACTCCAGGCCAGTGCGCTAACCACTGGGCCAGTTGGCTCTAATAGGATTCTTCCAACTAGGTTTATTTCTATACACCATAGGAAAGTTAGCATTGGCCACCACTGTGACCACAAATGCAAGTTTTACAGATAAATCCCACGTCAATCACGCTTGTGTTAGATCGGATTGAGTGGAGACACATATTTTTTTAAGAATTTGACGTGCTGTTTGAGTGCCAGCAAGGTAACATTCATGAAGGGATTCAGTGAAATCAGTTTGCCATACTCGAGTCCTGGAGGTGGGAAATACAATGCCTACACTCTGAAGAATGGGTGGAGATGTTACTGCTCGGAGGGTCAGTTGAACTGTGATGTTTCCGTAATTTTGGCAAGACAGCTGTTGACTGAATGATGGTGAATCTGTTTTATTTGTGACCCCTTACCTTGATGGGAGACAACAAGAGGGATAAAAATTACTACTGCTACTATTACTGTTACTATTACTACTACTATTACTACTGATAATACCTCTACTATTATTACTACTACTAATAATAATAATAATGATCCTAATAATAATAAGTGATAATTATATAATAAAATCAATAATCATATTCTTCTGGTAATAACAACAACAACAACAACAACAACAACAACAACAACAACAACAACAACAACAACAACAACAACAATAATAATAATAATAATAATAATAATAATAATAATAATAATAATAATAATTGCAAATATGACGTTTGAGAATCAAGAATAACACGAAGTCATCTGTAAGCCACTTACTAGTGCTCTTGCTAGTGACGGCGCCTTCAAGCAAGGATGAGGAGAGTAACTGATACACGGTGGTGGGCACTGTTGCTTGATGTGAGAAGTGGAGTACGACCACGACCAGGCAGGATAGGATCTGAGCCTTCACTATCATGTGAGTGGAGGCAGGATAACTTCCTCTCGAAGGCATCTTGTAGACAAGACAGTCGGTGGTACCAAGATATACTGTGATGTTTTATTCTATAGTCGCCTTTAGCTAGTTCGACTGCTAGTCTTTAGAACAAATTGAATACTACCAGGGGAGAATATTTCTGAGAGAGAGAGAGAGAGAGAGAGATCTCGGTGTACAAGCTAGCGAGGAGGTCAGTGACGCGCTACTCGCAGAGTGAGCAGCCGGCGAGTGACTATGGGTCCAGCCAGGGAGGTGACAACAGGCACCAGACGACCAATACACAAGAGTGACAACGCACTTTAGCTTGTCACTCATTGGTAAAAAGAGTAACCAAGACCTTAAGAACAAGAAAAGGAAACAAGAACAAGGAAAGGAAGAGAAAACGAGAAGAAAAAGAAGAAGAAGCTGCTGGAGAGGAAACAAGAAAACACGAAAGAATGAAAAAAAAAAGTTTTAAGGTAACGGGTATGGCAAAGAAAACTGAACTTTGATCAAAATATACCACACTTGTCCCTGGCTCACGCACACACACGTATGAGCTGGTTACTTCCTAATTATTTTCTTACGAACATAATAAATAATTCTGAGTGAGAACACACACACACGTATATACGAACAGAATTACTGTCTGCCTATATCGAAAAGCTATATGCGGCAGCATGCTATATTATATAGAGCACTATGAACTGGTTCGGTTACTACACTACTTGAGGTTAAGGTTGAGTAAGTAAGAATGTAACTGTGGGAGGAGTTTGAGTAGGTAAGAATGTAATTGTGGGAGGAATTTGAGTAGGGAAAATTAACTGTGGAGGAATTTGAGTAGGTAAGAATGAATGTGGGAGGAATTTGAGTAGGTAAGAATGTAACTGTGGGAGGAGTTTGAGTAGGTAAGAATGTAACTGTGGGAGGAATTTGAGTAGGTAAGAATGTAACTGTGGGAGGAATTTGAGTAGGTAAGAATGTAACTGTGGGAGGATTTGAGTAGTAAGAATGTAACTGTGGGAGGAAATTTTAGTAGGTTAAGAAGTAATTTTGGGAGGAATTTGAGTAGGTAAGAATGTAAAATGTGGGAGATTTGAGTAGTAAGAAAAGTAACTGTGGGAGGAATTTGAGTAGGTAAGAATGTAACTGTGGGAGGATTTGGGGTAGGTAAGAATGTAACTGTGGGGGGATTTGAGTAGGTAAGAATGTAACTGTGGGAGGAATTTGATAGGTAAGAATGTAACTGTGGGAGGATTTGAGTAGGTAAGAATGTAACTGTGGGAGGAATTTGAGTAGGTAAGAATGTAACTGTGGGAGGAATTTGAGTAGGTAAGAATGTAACTGTGGGAGGAGTTTGAGTAGGTAAGAATGTAACTGTGGGAGAATTTGAGTAGGTAAGAAATGTAACGTGGGGGGAAATTTGATGGGTAAGATGTACGTGGGAGGAGTTTGAGTAGGTAAGAATGTAACTGTGGGAGGAGTTTGAGTAGGTAAGAATGTAACTGTGGGAGGAATTTGAGTAGGTAAGAATGTAACTGTGGGAGGAGTTTGAGTAGGTAAGAATGTAACTGTGGGAGGAATTTGAGTAGGTAAGAATGTAACTGTGGGAGGAATTTGAGTAGGTAAGTTGTAACTGTGGGAGGAGTTTAGTAGGTAAGAATTAACTGTGGGAGGAATTTGAGAAAGGTAAGAATGAAAACTGTGGGAGGAGTTTGAGTAGTAAAGAATGTAACTGTGGGGGGAAATTTTTGAGTAGGTAAGAGTGTAACGGGGAGGAATTTGAGTAGGTAAGAATGTAACTGTGGGAGGAATTTGAGTAGGTAAGAATGTAACTGTGGGAGGAATTTGAGTAGGTAAGAATGTAACTGTGGGAGGAATTTGAGTAGGTAAGAATGTAACTGTGGGACGAATTTGAGTAGGTAAGAATGTAACTGTGGGAAAAAATTTTGGGAGTAGGTAAGAAGGTAACTGTGGGAGGAATTTGAGTAGGTAAGAATGTAACTGTGGGAGGAATTTGAGTAGGTAAGAATGTAACTGTGGGAGGAATTTGAGTAGGTAAGAATGTAACTGGGGGACGAATTTGAGCAGGTAAGATGTAACTGTGGGACGAATTTGAGTAGGTAAGAATTTAACTGTGGGAGGAATTTGAGTAGGTAAGAATGTAACTGTGGGAGGAATTTGAGCAGATAAGAATGTAACTGTGGGAGGAATTTGAGTAAGAATGTAACTGTGGGAGGAATTTGAGTAGGTAAGAATACTGGAAGGAGCCAAGAGCGTTCATTAATGTGGTAACCACCACCACTAACCTTACTAACAACAACAACCACCACTAACCTTACTAACAACAACCACCACTAACCTTACTAACAACAACAACCATTAACCTTACTAACAACAACAACCACTAACCTTACTAACAACAACCACCACTAACCTTACTAACAACAACAACCACTAACCTTACTAACAACAACCACCACTAACTTACTAACAACAACCACCACCAGCCTTACTCCCCCACAACCACCACTAACCTTAACTGCTAACAACAACCACCACTAACCTTACAAACAACAACCACCACAACCTTACTGCTAACAACAACCCCCAAATAACCTTACTACAACACCACCACTAACCTTACAAAACAACAACCAACCCCTAACTTACTAACAACACCACCACAAACCCTTTACTAACAAAAACCACCACCAAGCCTTACTAACAACAACCACCACTAACCTACTGCTAACAACAACCACCACAACCTTACGGCTAACAACAACCACCACTAACATTACTGCTACCAACCACCACTACCTTTACTGCTAACAACAACCACCACTAACCTTACTGCAAACAACAACCACCACTAACCTTACTGCTAACAAAAACCCAAACCAATAACCTTACTCTAAAAACAACCACCACAAACCTTACGCTAACAAAAACCACCACTAACCTTACTAACAACAACCACCACTAACCTTACTAACAAAAACAACCACTAACCTTACTAACACAACAACCACTAACCCTTACTAGCAAAAACCCACCACTCCCCTTACTAACAACAAAAAACCACTACCTTACTAACAACAACCACCACTAACCTTACAACAAAAACCACCACCAGCCTTACAACAAAAAACCCACTAACCTTACTAACAACAACAACCACCAGCCTTACTAACAACACCCACCACTAACCTTACTAACAACAACCACCACTTACCTTACTAACAACAACCACCACTAACCTTACAACAACAACCACCACTAACCTTACTAACAACAACAACCACTAACCTTACTAACAACAACCACCACTAACCTTACTAACAACAACAACCACTAACCTTACTAACAACAACCACCACTAACCTTACTAACAACAACCACCACTAACCTTACTAACAACGACCACCACCAGCCTTACTAACAACACCCACCACTAACCTTACTGTTGACAACGGAGTGTTTACTAACTACGTGCTAACGGTAGCTGCTTCTCATACCAGTGTTTACTCCCAGACGTTGTACATTTACCCATAACTTGTATGTTCATTAAATTAAGAGGAAAAAACATGCAAGAAACTAGCATAAATTAGGGAACGTGAAGGAAAAAAGCGAGAAAAAAATGAGCAGCGTTTTAAACCCCTCACACTGAGACCTTCAGAAAATTATATTAATCCGGTTTTTGGACTTATTTCTGCTACTTGTTAGAATTTATTATACTTTTTTTTCACTTTAGTGTGTGTGATGTACGTATATATATCTGTAAGCGTATGTATGCATGTGTATATATGAATGTGTGGGTATGTACAGTATTTGTATTCATTTGGTCGTGTTTCTGACCCGGCCTCCTGGGCTGGTCTGGTCGACATCTACTGAACCCTAGCCTCCTGGGCTGGCCTGGTCGACATCTAATGAACCCCAGCCTCCTGGGCTGGCCTGGTCGACATCTACTGAACCCTAGCCTCCTGGGCTGGCCTGGTCGACATCTAATGAACCCCAGCCTCCTGGGCTGGCCTGGTCGACATCTACTGAACCCTAGCCTCCTGGGCTGGCCTGGTCGACATCTAATGAACCCCAGCCTCCGGGCTGGCCTGGTCGACATCTAAATGAACTGTAGCCTCCTGGGCTGGCCTGGTCGACATCTAATGAACCCCAGCTCCTGGCTGCCTGTCGACATCTAATGAACCCCAGTCTCCTGGGCTGGCCTGGTCGACATCTAATGAACCCCAGCCTCCTGGGCTGGCCTGGTCGACATCTAATGAACCCCAGCCTCCTGGGCTGGCCTGGTCGACATCTAATGAACGCTCAGTAGCCTCCTGGCTGGCCTGTCGACAACTAAATGAACCCCAGCCTTCCTGGCTGGCCTGGTCGACCATCTAATGAACCCCAGCCTCCTGGGGCTGGCTGGTCGACATCTATATGAACCCCAGCCTCTAGGCTGGCCTGGTCCGACATCTAATGAACCCCAGTCTCCTGGGCTGGCCTGGTCGTGACATCTAATTAACCCCCAGCCTCCTGGGCTGGCCTGTCGAGACATCTAATGAACCCCAACCTCACTGGGCTGGCCTGTCGACATCTAACTGAACCCCAGCCTCACTGGGCTGGTCCTGGTCGACTTCTAATGAACCCCAGCCTCCTGGGCTGGCCTGGTCGACATTCATAATGACCCCACCTCCTGGGCTTCCTGGTCGACAATCTAAAATGAACCACAGCCCTCCTGGGCTGGCCTGGTCGACATCAATGAACCCCCAGCCTTCCTGGGCTGGCCTGGTCGACATCTAATGAACCCCAGCCTCCTGGGCTGGCCTGGTCGACATCTAATGAACCCCAGCCTCCTGGGCTGGCCTGGTCGACATCTAATGAACCCCAGCCTCCTGGGCTGGCCTGGTCGACATCTAATAAACCCCAGCCTCCTGGGCTGGCCTGGTCGACATCTAATGAACCCCAGCCTCCTGGGCTGGCCTGGTCGACATCTAATGAACCCCAGCCTCCTGGGCTGGCCTGGTCGACATCTAATG